AACTTGAGGTCACCTTTCTGGACAAAAAATGCACCATTTGCTCATAATGCTACTGTCAAAGAGAAGGCCGTATCAAATTATGCCTTCATGGATGCTTCTCCAAATCATCCAATAGAGTATGTTTGAATCTAAATATTTAATAAAATTTTTATTACCATGAGTATTTAACATTTATAAACATGTATTAATTTGTTTATTTATTTATCTAACTTTTTGGTGTTGTAGTGAAACACTATTTAGCTTTGATGAACTCTCTATGACACGGGTAGATTTCCACACACTGAGCAGTGGTGAAATTTTTAGCACCTTCATTGATATATGGGCGTTGAGGCTTACATTCTTCAACACACAGCCACATTGGGGCAGCCAAAATGCATCTATTTTAGCACATTAGTACATGTAAGTTGATACCAAAAAATTTTAAAATTTGAAACTATGAATGTATGACTCTATAATTCTGAATATATAATTTAATCATTCTCATTACATATTGGACAACTTATCATTAATATGTATTTTTTTCCCCTTAGCTACAACTTGACCCAACTGATCAATGGATGAAGGATCTTCCACTTCAAAAGCGGAAGGAAAATTTCAAAGAGATGTTACAATATGAAATTGCCAAGTTTGGGAATCTTGACATTAGTGATGCTGATTTGGTAATTTATAATTACCCACGTTCAACTTTTATTTATTAGCAACACTTTTTTTTTCTATTCTAACTTCTTCTTCTTCTGACATTAGATATTTTCCCCGTGCTTCGACACGGACACTACTTTGTTGTCTGCATTAACACCATTGCAAAAAAAGTTGATATCATAGACAACAAATCCCTGCCTACTGGTGTTACAGAAGTTGACAAATATCAAGATTGCCCCAGTCTACTAGTAACTTGACAATAAACTTGAACTTCTAATCATTTGTTACACATTTGCTATAAACCATTATGACACCAGTTTGATTTTTGTCCAGATAACTGCTTTAAAGGAATACTTGACTGCAGAGAAATCACCCCTATACGTAAGATACAAAAGCTTCCTGTAGAATTCTTGGCCATTCACTGGAAGGAGCTTGACAATGCCATTGACTCTGGCATATATGTCATGCGACACCTGGAAACGTACAAGGGGGATATGCAAGATTGGAACAGTGGGTTCAAGAGAAACACTCGTGTAAATGTAAGAGTATAAGATATATTACTTTCAACTTATATTTACTTTTTTATTTTTTAACATCCCATTAAACTGATTATTTAATGTTTTTTTTTTTTAAGGCTGACTTCTTTGCGAATTGAGAGCTAAATATGCATCAAACATTATCACATGGGGTATGAACGCTGTAAAAACCCAGGTTATGAAGGCAGCAAGGGAGCTCTCAAAGAAGAAATGAATCTATACTGTTTTTGGGGTTTGAAAATGTTGTGAACATGAAGCAGTAAATTTGTGAATACTTCATTTTGAAATTGTGACTGTTGGTACCCTAATTTCATAATCTCTCATTTTGTAATGTGAACAAATATTTTGCACCTGTGAATATAAAATCTATTCTTGTTAATTCAGGTTTCAGATATTATGAATATATGGTTCATATGGATTTATGAATTTTCTACTATCATATTACAAATTTTCTGTTATGTAATTATGAATTTTTTATTATGTAATTATAAATTTTGTGTTATGAGATTATGAATTTACAATTATACAATTCTGAATTTTCTGTATGACATTATGAATTTAAAGTAATATAATTATGAATATGCAGGGTATAAGCATTCAAAGTTATGTAATTATAGAAATCTGTTATTTTAATTTAAATCTATTGTGTAATTTTAAATCTATTATAATTATAGAGTCCATATATTATGAAAATATAATCATGAATGTGCAGATGCGGATTTATGAATTTTATGTTATGTAATTATGAACTTTTCGGTATGAGATTATGAATTTATAATTATGGGTTTTCTAGCCATACTTGTAACCACTATATCCATAATTACATAACTGTACATTCATAATCTCATAGCAGAAAATTTATAATTATATAATTGTCAATTCATAATCTAATAGCATGAAATTCATAATTACATAACTGTAAATTCATAATCACATAAAAGAAAATTCATAACTTAACAAATGTAAATTGATAATCTGAACATAGAATGCAAAATTTGCAGATGTATACATCAAACATATTGCAAATATATAGTTCAAATCTGAATATTTTGCATAGTGTTCATCACATCACTGCTTAACATATATCAAGTTCTATTAACACAATCTCAATCTATATCTACATTGTGATATAAATTCTTATTAAAATGAACAAACTGTGAACCCCTAGAACTTAGATGTACGAGATATCCATCCCGAGCAATCTCTGATATATTTTCCAAAACCAATGCTTGGACAGCACCCTTTGTAATTGAAGCAAGCTTGTTTGCAGCACTCTTTCTCCCCCTTGCTGCACTGTACTTCTTCTCAATAACACTACTACTCCTTTTATCGCACACCTTTACTCCTCCGACTTGTAGGATCTTGTACAATACCACTTGAAGAAGACAAAGCACCCTCCTCGATATTCACATCCCCAATCTCAGCTTCAACATTTTTCCTTGCATTCTCAACAGCTTCATCACAAAATCAACACTATTATCTTGACTAGAAACAATCAATCTTTGAAATTTCCTATTAATCTTGACAACCCAAATTGAAGGAGGGATACCAACATTATAAAACACAGATGCAATGTCCACATTTCTACCATCAACAACATTTTTAGTCCATCTTTTTAAAATGTATTTTTCTGGAATACTAGAAACACAGTGCACATGAAGTATACGTAAACAGTGACAGCAAAGTATTCCCAATTCTGAAAACAACTTGCAACTACAGCATATATCCAAATTGACTGGCTTAAAAATTACTTCATGCCTTATAATGTCTATATCTGGTCGCCACAAATGATACAACACTTGCATCCATCATTCATAACAATTTCTCGATAACAAGAGATACCTTTCATAAATTGTTCCTCGAACAAAAAGTATATCTCAATAGTATATACCTCTCTAGCATGTGAAAGAAGTTTCACATGATCCATCATCATGGCAGGTACTCCTTGAGAACACCGAAAACCTTCACCACTTTTCTTACTTCTCCATTCAGAAATAACACTAACAAAGGATGAATAAAAATCACATAGACCAGCAGTCTTAGATAACCTTCTAGAAATTGAATGATTTGTAGTTTCACTCCTTTGATAAGATAAAATGCCCCGGAAAAATAACCCTTGTTAAATGCTGGACACCACTTCTCCCTACAATAAGAAAGCTTCTCTAGCCAAGTATTCTTAGGACACTTATATTCTGTCACCATCCTGAAAGTTACAAGACACGTTTACTAAGCTTATATGAAACAGAACAACAATATCAAAAAAACATAATACTATATATCCATAATTTCTATGTTGTATATCCATAATATATAAACTGCATATTCATAATTCTTATCCTCTGCAATACAGAATATAAATGAGTAAAAGTCCAAACAGCATATTGTACATTCATAATATATACATAGAATATCTATAATATCTATGCTCTAGATTCATAACTTCTAACTGTATATTCATAATTCTTACCTCCTCTTGAATATACACAATATAAATGACTAAAATACCAAAATATGATACAGTACCCAATGAACAAAGTAAATAATAACATACCTTGTCCGATAAAATTCAAACTCAGCTTCAGTCTCGGTGTATTTCAACACACAATTGAACATATCCAAAAAATCCTTATGATTCCTTAATGCCTTGATATGCTTCTTCGAATTCTCACCAATATGCCATATGCAAAGACGGTGGCGTGATGTTGGAAATACCATAGAAATGGCAGTAGCCATAGCTGAACATTGATCCGTCATGATAGTCTGTGGACATTTGCCATCCATGGATCTTAACGCTCTAAACAACCACGCAAATGATTCTATCATCTCGTTCATCAAGAACCCACATCCAAACATTACATTCATGCAATGATGGTTCATCCCTATAAAAGGACCACAAATCATATCATATTTGTTAGTGTGATATGTTGTATCGTGCACTAACAAATCCCCAAACAACTCATAATCCCGTCTCATTTGACCATCTCTCCAAAAAAAACTACACAGTCTTGCATCCAAATCAATTTCAAAATCAAAAAAGAAATTAGCTTCATTAGATTGCCTCCTCCTAAATATTCCAATCAAAGAATTGGAATCAGTTCCATCCAAACACTTCAAACTCTCACAAGCCATCGAATTGTAAGCACGGTTGGTAAAGCCAACCAATGCAGAACCCCCTGACTGATGTTTCAAAAACCTCATACCATCCGCCAATGCAACGTCACTCTGTATGCATATCCATTATATAACTCAAAAGAATTTGGAGGAAAAAGAGATTATAATGGCGTTGAGAATGATAACTTTTTTTGATAACATGAAAATGATTTAGTGCTATTTATACTATTACAAAGACTAACTAATCTCCTCAATTGCAGTGGTCTTCCAAACAACACCCAGTAGAGTACCAAACCTGATTGACATCGATAGTCATTATATATTTACATGTCATGTAATAAATTTATAAGGTTATCATTTACATATCATTAAGTAAATTTCAACCTATCGATGGTGTGGGTAAATTTTACAAAACTCATCTCACTCCATCGAATGTAAGTATTGACATTCATTTTTCAATTTTAGTTTAGTAATTCAACTCACCCGATAAACCCGATAACTCGAGATTTACAGTTAAGACCAACCCAGCCAAAATAAAATAAAAAATCAAACCAAAAAGTTAAATATCAGTTAGCTCGACCTAATAAGTCCAACAACCCAACAGAACTAACTCAAAATCGAACAAATTGACCCCATTGATATCTCTGCCGCACAAGTAGTAGACTAATAATAAAATCTCTAATTAAATAATGAACTAGTCAATAGTAAAAGCAGTGAAAAGTAAAATGCATATAGCCTAAACTATAGTAGTCTTCAGCTGCAATAGAAGTCACGAAGCTTGTGTGGCGCTGCTATAATTCTTATTATCTTTTCTCTGCTATTTGCATGTGTAATAGCTTTTGCATGCATAACACTGCACAGTGTACAGAGACACGGTTGTATATATAGGATACAATATTTTTATTGGTAATACTATGTTGATACGAAAATCAATAACAAAACCTTTTAATACAGAAATAATTTATTGCATGAGGTTATAGCTGTTGAGTTTTGCATTCTATCTGTGCATTTCTTTCATCCTGCAATTCTCTTCCAAATCTTGAATTTAGAACTGAGATCAGGCCAAGTTCAAAGATAGCTCGGATTTCCACATAGTCAATCACATCTGTGGTCGTGTCTGGACAACAAAAATCTTCCCATCCCTCACTACACCTTCGATGTCTTGAGGTGATCCGTATAGCTCCTCAATCACGCTTCCAGCACGGGCAATGTTAGAGAGGATTGAATGACGGAAATCATTACTGGTTATTAATGGATCAGCTGAGTAATCCAACACAACTTTCTCCTCTTCATCCATTGGCACACTACAAGCAAGTTTGCATGCTCAAGATCAGCACATAAAGGAAAGAAAACAAGAGCATGTAAAATAAACTGAAAATCTATGAGCTTCACCTATCATAAAGACCAGCACCAGCATAACCTTCTAGATCTTCACCATTGGAGTCAGAGCGGAAGATTATAGATCGCCTTATGAAAAGGCCTATGGGCTTGCTTGGGTAACCAAGCACCTGAAAGTGTTAAATTCATAATATAAGTGTTAAAAATCCCACATTGACCCTATGGATATCCTTGGATAACTTTTAGTATGGTTTGGCCCTATGCATTATAGCAACCTTGACCCAATTTTAGATTATAACATAGTATCAGAGCATGTTCAGTCCACTCCGTGCTCACCCAATTGTCCACCCTTAGATCCAATCTTTCAGTATGATTTGGCCCATGTGCATTATAGCCATGTTGAGCAACAAAAGATTAGGTCTTCCAGTTAATTACACTTATAAAAGGCTATCAGGTATACTTTTTCTTGTTACTGATGGGTTCGTGTGCTAGATTAAACAATAAAAACATCAAAAACTAAGTGGAATTTCAATTATTACACTAGATATGTAGGTGGATATCAGATTACATACTATTTCTAGAAGATCAAAACACGCTCTCTACTCACCTGAGGAGAGTCTAGATTATTCTTTTTGCAGACGAAACTCAGAGCACGACCTGGATAAGCGCCAACTAGTGTTTCCCCAAGGCCCCTTACAACCTGTTCCCAAATGAATACATGATATAAGCATCAGTACTTACTTTAACATACATTCATGAAGACTGACATTTTTTCCCAGATATATTGATTCTTGGGTTGAAAGTAAGAGCTTCTCATTTTGTATGTTCGCTTATTTACATGTACTGTATGGACAAAAATTTAACAAAGGTTCCATTTTGATTTTTTGGTTCCTAACATCAGGGATTTGAAGCTCTAGTTTCAGAACTTTTAGGATTAGGTAGCAATTAGGTTATGAGAAGGATTTAAATTCCTCATTGCAAATCATTGTAAAATGATTCTGAACCTGATACTCAAATTAAAAGGCCTTAATATTTGAAAGTTAATTGGTGGGGATATTCATATTTTAATTTCTTGACTAAATCTAGCAGAAAATGGCACTAATATAGAAGCAGCATGAAACACAAGTTGATATAGCATCACCTCAGCATATATCTCAGACAACTCTCCAGAGGATGGATTAGTGGTATGAATAACAAATGCGTAATCAGCATTTATTATTTCTTGAACAAGTACGGCCATGCAAAGATAGTCATGATCTAGTTTGACTTTCCTTGTGCTGAAATATGCTCTTTCATTCCATTTTGAAGCCCACACCTGGCACATGGGAGAAAACAATAACGCATATGCATTAACAAGTATTCTATAAGTATCCACAATATTCATCTGAACCTTGTATAAAACCTAACATGGCAAGAAAGGGGAAAACTTCATCACTAGATATCTATAGAACTTTTCATCACTGATTGCCCTCCCATAACAGAGCTTTGGGGCAATAATACTTTGGTTAAATCATAGCTAAGAAGAAGAATGCAGTTTACTTTTTTGATTGCCATCCATGCCTGTTCCCATCGTTCTGGACCTTCATCACCAGGCCAAGGCATACCAGAACTTTGCATCTTGTCTTTGAGCTCATTGATCTGAAATAAAAATTTGGCCCACATCAAGTTTAAAGTTTACCCCGGACATGAATGAATTATTTTCTATAGTAGACATGAACGTATCTGGGTCACAATAACCTAAATAGAACAAAAGCAGAATCTAATGTGCACATGTAAGCATTCAAGTATGGTCATTGAAGAATGGAGTATAATATAGTATGGAGTATGCATTACTTGAGATATTTAACAATAAATTATAGGGAAAATGGTCAAATAGGCCTGAACTTTATGCAAAAAGCCAATTAGGCCCTTAAACTTTAAAAATTTGTAATTACGCATCAACTTTTCAATTTAATGCAATTAAACCAATTAGCTAGTTATCCAAAGGTAACCAATAAAAATGTTGATGTGGCAATATTTATTCAAATAATTTAATTTAAAAATTTAAAATAAAAATAAAAATAAAAATAAAAAGACAGAAAGCAAAAATCACCAAAGAAGACAAATAGGCACCAGAGAATCACGGGAGAAGGTATACCAATGGTGACCATTTTATTTAAAAAATATTTTTTTGATCATCTTATTTAAAAAAATATTTTTTAAAATTTTTTAATTAAAAATTGACACATCATCATATTTTTACCAGCTTTACCTTAGGACTTAGGTTTGCTGGGCAATTTGGCAAGTTATCAAAACCGACGAGCTGATGTGTTTAAACTTTATAAAACTCAGAGGCCTAATTGCTTTTTCGTATAAAGCTCAAGAGCCTATTTGACCCTTTTCCCTAAACTATATACGAGAGGCAAAATTTATCCAGCTAGAAATCATCATAGACATGGAAGGCCTAGAAGAATGTGTCATGAGGTCATCAAAGGAAAAGTCAATGAGAGAAACATGTTAGATAAATGAATAAAACAATACCAGCTGAGGTGGTGCTGAAAGTTCTAGAACTGTGTTTCGGATTTCACCAAGGAAACTGAAATCCCCTTCAGATAGCTTTTTCTTCAGAACTTGCAATTTTGCATCCACTCCCTGAAGAGTATTTAAACAGTCTTTAAAATGGAACAATTTGAGGAAAATATTTGTATGAAGACTATAACAGTGAAGCATCAAATGTCCCACTGAAAAGAAGTAGCTCAAAGTAGGAATTTTAGGAATTGTGAAAAATATAATTCATCCTTTATTTTAGAGTAATGATCCAAGGTCATTGGTTGTTTCACCAAAACAGTTGCTACAATCAATAAACAAGAGTACTAAGTCATTGCAGTTAAGCTCTTGTCACTCTTAAGGAAAATCTTGTTTCCACTGTGCTTAAAGGTACACCAATTGACAGCAGCTATAACTAACCAGAAATATGAATAAACATGTTACTAAAATAGAATAGAACTGAACCTTATTAATATCATCTGAAAGAACTTTCTCGAAAACTCCAAATGGTAGGGCAACTGAAGTAGGGATCCCAATCCAAGATGGGACTTTTCCTTTCAGATTTGCAATGTTACGAGATTTTGCACCAACCTAAGCATATTAAAGCATAAAGAATTTTGTTCATCATTAATAGGAAAAAAAAAAAAAAAATAGCATATATATGCAAAATATATTGTATATAAATGCAAAAATGTTTATAAATAACATGATGCCAACAGAGAAGAACCTCCACTCAAATTCATTGATTATAGAACAAATGCAAGCCTCACCAGTTCACTCGTGAATTCCTCAGATGTTATTGCATATCTACCAGCGAAGTGTTTTTTGACCAATTTTAAAGATTGTGAAGGGCCAGCCTCCATCAAGTTAGCTGAACTCTGGACCTCAACCTCTTTCTCCTCGCTGTGTTTACATGGAAGAACATAAATGCCTTAATTCCCACATCTACTAACTCAGTAGAGATTTGAATTGAATATGAAAATACAAATTCAGCAAACTTTTGGAGTTACAGGAGTGCACCTATATATTATATCAGCAGATGTAGGCTTTAAGCGCAAAAATTGTCCTTCTTTTGCTTGAAGTTCAGCTAGAACACTGGGATCATAGCAAGTTGCAAAGCATACCTGCCAAAGGAGAAATTCCTATTGAATCATACATGGCAAGGATTGATATTCTGATACATTTAGACATACGAGCTGTAATAAAAATACTACCTTAGAGTTCCTCGCTCGAACAGCAACATGAGAAAGGACATCTGGCATGTCTGGTGTCAGCACAGCAACAGTACCATCAGGAATTTCCTCCTCACCTTTGACAGTATTTGCAACCAAAATTGTTGGCTTGTCATAAGTTTTGTTCTGAACAGAGAGCAGTTCATCCACAACAACAATGTAGCCAACAGCCTCAACTGGGCTGATAATCTGCCAACTGAATAAGCACAAAATTATTGCATTGAAGAGGTTTTCATCTTGCTTAGAAAAAGGACTCCGACTCCAAAACCTTCCCTTCTGTTTCTTTCAACAGCTGTCTTAAAAGTTCAGAGTTAAGTCTTAGTTGATGCCATCATACAATGACCAGCTATATATTTTTTTTAAAAAAGAGATTAGTAGGTGCTGATGCAGAGATTAACCATTAGATGGTTTAGGAGTACATGCTAGCTAAAGTATTCCCTGCACTGGAAATCCCAAGAAATATATTTCAAGTAGCAATGCACTAAATATATATACTTTAAAGAAAAGGGTCATCAGTGCCAATTGTAGGTAATCTGAGGATATATCAAATGTTCATAAACTCAAAACATTGTTAAAAAAAATTCAATAAGAGATGTTGGCAAGCCATTCAACCTTCCCAGATTAGCAGTTTGCCTAAGAATAGGGTCTAGTCGATTAAGAAGTGATGATAAGGAAGCAGCTGATCCAGCACGTATAATTTCTTCAGTGAATATGTTCACCTGCATTAAAGAATCATATAGGTAATTATTTGTAAACTCTTTGTATAACAAGCGTATGTATTACATGCTTTTAGTATTAATGACATACAGCCCACTCATCCACCCCAAGTTTTGATCCAAGGTACTCTGCTGATGGCTGCAATAGATGATGATACGACTCTGCTTTGTTTGCAAGAGAAAGCCTCGTTCGGTCAAGGACTGATTTTGCAAATAAAGCCCAGTTATTGTCTCCACTCTTAGACATTCTCAGTGCTTGGTTCCAGCCCTTCATATCAACAATGGTACCCTAGATTAGTGTAGATTTACTTGCGAAAAGAGAATACTTGAATTTTGAAGTAGTATTTTGGTGCTTATCTGAACATGTAAATCCTTAATTTGATTACTGGAAAGAACTGGAAAAGCTTATCATGCATGCACTATTTTTTTTGGTCAGACCACGAGGTGTCCTGAGTAGGCCCTAACTGTAGGAGGCACCTTTAAGCCCGTACCATACTCAGACTAATCATGCATGCACTGTGAAGACTAGTATATGCACATTACTTGCAGCCCTTTATTAACTGCTTACAAGATGGGATGTAGAGTTATTTACAGAATTTTTTGTATCATACAGGCATATAGGTAATAGAAATACGTAATATTATTTAAAGCTTTTCGCCAGGAAGGAAGAAAAAGCTTATGAATATTAAAGCTAAATTTACAACTATATGCATTTTCAGTGGATGGCTCTTGTAGCAACTTCAATATATACACAATTTTTACAGTGAAAAGAAGCCAAAAATATGCACCACAAAACCAGTGTAACTTGAAAAAGAACGTAATCTAAAGAACTTGTAAAAGAATGAAAAAACAAAGTATTAGAATATTGCCCAGCATTTACCTTTAAGCAATAGACAAGATCTTCATTATCATCCACAGACAGTGCAAGATTCTCCAGAACAAGGGAGATGAAGTACATAATTTTCTGTAATAAATGAACATGATCATGATGATATTTTAAAGATTGTATATATTGCCTTAATAATCTAAATGCTTTATGTATAAGAAAACAAAATATACCTCAGGACTAGCATTATTCAGTTCCTCATACCCCCTCTCTACAGCTGTCCTAACAGTAGAATCCAAGGCAATATCCAGAAACAAAAGATCCTTCAGACGGTTGTTTGATTGGGAAAGTAATGGTCTGAGTTCCTCACGAGCCTCTAGCAAACCCTGGATGTAAGAGGTTTACTTAAAGGAACGAGCCCACAACTTCTGAACGACACTGAAGATTAAGGATACAGGGAAAATAGATGACAGACCTCAAGAAGAGATTCCACATTTCTATCTTCGACATGCTCTAAGACAAATTGAAGCAACTCCTATTTAAAATGGTAATAATTATTATTCTTATTAGGAACTCATTAGTTGTCAACTGACGGAATTCTCAAGCATGAACCATATGGCAGTAGTGGCCAGTAAGGTAATACCGGAAATCCTGAAGGCAAGCCTGATACAGGATTTATCTGCACACCAACCATGAAGCCTTCACCCTGAGGAGAATTAGAAGCTAAGCCAGACAAACAGATACCGGGAATATATCAGTTTTTTAAGCAACTTTCCTAATAAGACCTTTACCTCTGTTTTATATCCCATACAATTTGCAATGGCAGACTCAAGATCAGCACCTGAATGGACAGCCTGTGCAAAACTTACAGTTAGGACAGTTTCCATAGCTTTCATATTAGAAAATGATTACTGGCGGAACAATTTTGTACACAATAAGTACAACATTAAGAACAGAATTCCGTGCCTTAGCATATCCAAAAGGAACAGCCAAACAGAGAGTATTTGTATATGAGGAACATTTATTTTACATCATGCTTGATTCATGTGACAGTGAGGTTTACCACAACACTGGCTCAGAATCGTATGGTGATGATGTATTTTTCTATCCACGATTAAAGTTAAACTTTCAGCTTAAGCAGGAGACTAAATGAACTAAATAAGTCATTTTGTTTTCTTAAGAATAATTTAAAGAATACTCTGTATGTTATACTAGAAATGAACACATGCATTCAAGAGAAAGCTCAGAGCAAAGAAAAAATTGATGCAATGTATTGTATAGAGAAAACCCACCTTCAGTGTTCTCATATAGTTCCCTAGATCACGCAAAAGGCTTTCCCTTTGATCACTTCTAAAGTTTGGTTCAGAATGGATAGCACGGTCATAACTTAAAAGCCTCTCTTTAGTGATTCCATTTGAATTCAAGGTTTGCCAATAAACACTAATATCAAAATCACTCTTGATATAGTCTATCAGTGCCTGCAAGAAGAAAATCATCAGAATGGATTTCAAAGGCAACCATATAACATTGTAGCATCTTGATACCTGGCAGATAACGACATCATCAGGACTAGTGTTATTATGCAGTTTCTGGTGCCATTCCTCCATCATTCCACCTTTGCAGTCATTTTTTCGCTGCATTAGAAAGAAGTTGTGAACATCAGTTACATTGAATGGAACCCAGGATATAAGACTAGAAATATGAAGAGAATTGAATGTACCTGGATAACCAGTATTTCATCCCGTATTCGCTGTCCAACATCCCCTTCACCTCCACGCCCCACAGTTGACAGGATCATGCGCAATAATTCACGGTACTGTGGACGACTTAAATAAACATTCTGCAGCAAATCTGTCAGCCTGTCTTGGGCTTTACTAATCTCACTGCACCATATTAGGAACATCACATAAGGAAAAACCTGCTACTTCATACATGTACATCAGCAGAAAACAATAGTGCAGTGGATCTTCACAAATATAAATCCACAAATAAATTTAAAAATATTTAAATATATATATTCATAAGAGTTATACCGTGGCTTTATGTTGTAGTTTTTATTCCAGATAAGCTGTCGTGTAGCCATGAAACGCATCCAAACAAGAATTCCTGCAAAACCCAGCTCACCAGCATTTGTGGCTTCTTCTGTCAAGTCAGCTGCAATATTAAACCTAAGAGGAGAAATGACAATATCTAGAAGATCACTCTTTCGAAATCTATCAGAATAAATTAGCATGCTAATTAACAAACCATGTGCTTATCAGATGGATAACTAGTAAGAAGATATATGCATAAATAAAATACACTTATATTACGTATTACATTAATTATGCATTGAAGCAAAACCAAGCATTAAGGTTGAATCGTTCAATACCATTATCCAAAATCCACCTTAAAACATGATATTATTCCTCTAAACTGTCATCGCTAATAATAAGAAGAAAACATAGAAATTCAAAAGAACAGAAGTCTTTTGAAGAAAATCTCAAACAATGCCATTTACATCTTAAATCCCTTAAAACAGTCCAAATATATCACATATGAGTAACATGAATTAATGACATGTAAAGCTAACTAATCAACTTTCATGAATATAACAAACGAAAAAAGAAAAAGAGTAGAATATACTCACCGATGCATGAAAGACTTCTGAGCCTCACTTTCCATATCCGCTATTTTATCCAACAAGGCCTTAGCGGTCCCCGTGCCATCCCCAACATCCTAGCCAAAGCAATAAAGAACAGTTTTTCACCAAGGTAAATCATAGGAGGTTGACAAGATAATTATAGGGAATGGGATCCTTCTCTTTTACCCGCTGAGGTTGAGTACGAAAGTCAACATAAAAGTCTGATCCACTGTTTTTTATCCATTTTTCACCACACAAAAGAACAAACGGCATACCAACATAATCTTCATCCTCAATTGCAATTTCTAATGATTGGACCTGCAAAAATTGGAAATAGAAATGATTTATCTTCCATGAATCTCAACAACATATAAATTCTAACGACACTTTGAATTATGGTTCAGCATTGTTGCAAATAAAAGAAAACAATAATATAATCAACTGCCATACCTTATAAGACAGATTATCAGAACTGGTTGAAAATAGTGTTTCAGCGTATTTATCTGAACTAGTTGATCCAGGAGGCAAATCATTTTCAGGTGGTGCCTGCAAAATAGCCACCATAGGTGATTTACATAAAGCTAATATAAGTTCACATTTTTATTTTTATTTTTTTTAAATTTGGAGTTCAAAACAAAAATGGCCTATGAAATCATATCCACCATCTTACCAACCACTCTCCAGCATTTTTTGATAACGCCCAATGAAGAATAGCAGGCTCATTGAGATCTGTAGCCAGATAAACTTTCACCTTACCCTCTGGTTTTGTGACAAGTACCTAGAGAAGTACATGGGAACAAATGTTTTAGAACCATACATCCAAAAGACCAAAACTATTGTTGGTAGAAGTCAACAATATTAAGTACTCACCATGAGTTCGCCGTTAGCAACCTTATATATTTTCTTGTTTAGGATAGGACCATCAACCTGTTCTTCCTTTGCTTTGGCAAAAAGCTCAATCGTGGATAATGATTGAGGTTCCAACAAGATCTGCTCCACCCCAGAACCAGACTCAGATCCAGACCAAGGAACATTCCTGTTGATAATTTGAGCTAAATCTCTCTGCTTCCTCTGAATTTTTTCAATGGTGAAATAACTCTTTTTTTCCAGTTGTTTGGCAACCTTAGTTTTTACTTCTCCTTTTACAATCCTCTTCCGCAACTCATCAAAGGTTACACCTTTTTCAAGTTCAAGTTGCAGCTCTTGTCTTGCTTCTTCAAATTCTTTCTGTTAATCAGACAATAATTGAGGACTCAAAAGTGACTTCTGTGGATTATAGCATGGCTTTACTATATACAAACACATAACAAAGTTCAGGATTTACAAGTTGCTTCTCTGGAGGATAGCTTGGCTTTCCAGCTTTCTCCCATCGTATATAAGATTGTATCTGCACAAGGTCATCAGGTATATCACTCTTTGCTTCACGATGATGCTGCTCCTTGTGTTCAGTTGTATCATTCTTCTTTGTTAACCTTGCTCGGATTTCCTCTACGGAAGCACCCCTTGTTATTTCCTCTAAAAGTTCTGCTCGTGCTGCCTCATATTCCTCCTTTAAATGTTACAGCATTTGTTATTAATAAACATGTGCATGTATGTATAGTTGCAATAAAATTATTATGTCAGAACAAGGATTTATAGCATTGTAAGGCTGGAAAAAATGTTGAACCATAATTCTCAAGAACTTTGAAACTAGCAAGTATCAAGTTTGCATTCTTAAAAATTGAGAGGTTAGATTGATGCTGAAAAAGCACCTTTGAATAACATAAAGTACTAGGGAGCCCAGCAAAACAGCATAATCATGATTGGAACTTTCAAATAGCTACAACAAGAAAACCTCTATATTGACCACATATGATCCACAATAAATTAACCTGAACTATGCATGACTGCAACAGTGGAGAATGTCCAAATTGGTTACTTCCCAATGTTATAACTTAAACATTTAAAACATTCAGATTTATAAATTATGATAAACATGTGATTTTGGCCTGTATTACTTAAAGGAAATTAGGTGACTATGATAAACATGTGATTTTGGCCTGTATTACTTAAAGGAAATTAGGTGACTTTCTAGAGTCAGCAATACTTGCAATGCAGTTGCACCTTTAGGCTACCAGAATCAAATAACATAAATTACTTACTTTCTCTTTCTCAGGGGAATACATTTGTTTTCCCTTCCTTTCCCACCTCAAATATGCCTGAATCTGTACAAGATCTTCAGGAACTGAGGCATTAGTTATCTGTATTGCTCTTGGTGACAATTCAACATGGAAGTTGTCGCCATTGTTCTTTATCCTGATATAGAAGAAGGGGGAGAGAGAGAGAGACGGCAAAATTACTCCTGCATTTCTACTTTCACTTTTACAATCACTATAATTTGAAAAAATAATGCGTTGCCATACCATTTGTTTTGGACTTCATTAAATATTAGGAACTCTATGGCCTGAATTGCAGGATCATCTATCTCCAATCTCACCATAGCATTGGAGCCAGACTAAAGGGAAGTATTTTGAAGTCAGGTAAACATCCACTTCAAGTAATGCTTCTAAAGCAAATAAGCAGGTATTCATTACCCAAAATAATCCAACAACTGAGTTTTATGCCAGCTGCAAACTTACTTTCACAAACGGGGTTCTAAGTGCCTTATTCTTATAATCTTTGGTTCCATCTGGACGTCGATGAGGAAGTACCCACTTGCTAATAGAACCATAGAAAAAAGGGTAAAATGTCATATGAGTATATGACAAAGCTTATTTATGTCCAACTTGATAAATGTAATAGGACTTACTCTTTTCCAGACTTCACAGCACCCCAGTGTAGAAACAAGCCACTGATGTCTCTCGTAACCTTAAAATCCACCACTGTGACATGACCTGAAGTGGGGGGCTTAACATCAACCTGTTCATGGAAAAGGCAAACCTTATATCATTTATTAATAACTCCAGTATTGCTGATCCCCATCACATAGGACCACTGACCACAACAAATAACTTGAAACTTTTCTAGATACCTGCAGTTCAATATCTCCTTCAAGGTTGAATTTCTCAGCAATCTGCAAGAATTCAAGAAACAAAAAAACAAAAACGAAAAAACAAAAAAAAAAAAACAAAAAAAAAAAAAAAAAAACAAAACAAATGAGTAACAACATAATAGACATCCCCACAAACTTTGATGCAGATTATCAACTAAAAGTGAATATAATTCAAAAATAAAGTGTTAACCGCTATGTCATTATCAATATGATTTTTGCAGGATTAGGAGATTCTTTATAGCTAAAACAGATTATAAAATAAAGGGGACGCAAATGTCATGCCCAGAATGATAAGAGCCATTCTCTAACCAAAATAATGAATCAACAAATCATCCATCTGATAACCTGATCAGCCAATAAACCAATACTATATGAAGGGAATACTTAATTCCAATTTCACCTCAGAAGAGAGAACGGTGGCTAAGACAGCTCCAGAAACAGAAGAAGCACGCTGCTGTTGCATCAGTAACTTCTTTTTCTGCACTGTTAATCTTTCGCCATGAAACTCAGTTGACAAAGTTGATTTCCGTATGTGTGAAATTGCATGAGACTGAAACAAGGAACCACCCCGAACAGAAGTCGAGCCGATTCTACTTTGATATTCCAACACCACTGGATGAAGGAATCTCTGATGCAGCAAATTATTCCCTATTGAATTGCTCATATTCCAGTCTCTCAGATATCACTGTCTCAAGTACAAATATCAATTAACAAGCAAGCATAAATCCACAATTATATATTTGCATCAGTACACATCGCATATATATATACTAATAAACTGCAAATCAAACACGTACTAGAAGTAAGAATGCATAAAAAATAAATTTAAAAAAAAAAAAAAAAAAAAAAAAAAAAAAAAAAAAAAAAACAACAACAACAACAACAACCTTGATCACAAGTAAGAACTGCTAAACAGAAATTTAACCGGATTTTTGTGGTCTCGGTTCTTATAAATAAATGATGTCTTACACAAAATATAAGCGCAATCTTTAAAATCAAACCATAAGAATCCTATTAGCCTACTATCTCAAGTCCAAACAAATAGAAAAATTTAAATAAAAAAATAAAAAAATAAAACATCTTAAAACTACCTGATTAGTAGTTACCTGAAAAAAAAAAAAAAAAAACTGATAAGTTTCAGGATTAATTGTAAATTTATGGTCAAAAATAAATATTGAATCCTTTAAAATTTGAGACTCTTAGCTCTTGAGCATTTTGCACAGCCCAAAATCCGGCCCTGAATTTACCAATTTATATATAAGCAAACAGACGTACACCACATATACATTTCAGTACGCTGTATGGGGACACAATCCATATCCATATATACAACCAAATTTGTTTACGTAATTCATCAATGTAATAGAAAATGCCTCTCCTATAAATGTGTGAATCTATGCGCCCAGCATGAGGTTGAATAAACTTTATGAGAAGCACGCAAAAATCGAACAGAAAAGCTCAAATTCATGAATCACGGAGTGAAGAAGAAACGCATGGAAATTGAGATCCGATTCCTCGTAAAATTTCTTACATTAGAAGATACTTTACCTGGGAATAAGCTGGAAAAGTGAAGAGAGTGAAACGTGAAGCACAGATACCAAAGAGCTTGAGTGAAGGAGAACAGAGCTTTGGAGTATGGGACGTGCAATGGCGAAAACGTCACTGCGAGGGGATCGGGTTTAGTATCGCGAGAAGAGACACGTGGCAAGTTTGGAGCTAAAATTATTGAAAAATTCTAGAATGCATACACACCGTATATTTAAAAATAACTACATCTATGAAGCCTAGGAAGGATACACCAAGCAACTTAAGAGTTTAATAAGAATTGAGTTATTTATTCTTTCTATAATGTAATAAGAATAAGAATTGGATTCACTATTTTTAATATAATAAGAATAGGAATAAGATTTATTATTTTCAATGTAACAAAGACTTCAGATAGTTTCGAATTTTAATTTCTTGTAGGACGGTATAAATAAACTCCATAGATGAGAAAAATGGGAGCAATATTCATTATTCACAAGCAACCTCCATCAATACAAAATACATATATTCGCTCGTTATTTTTTAAGTCATAACAACCAATATGTATTAAAAGAGATGAAATTACCGAGTTATATTAATAGATGACCAATTAGGTAAGGTAAAATCATCAAAATCGACAACCTAATTAAGCACAAAAAATTTAGACTAAATCAAAAAAAAAAATCATTATAGTCAATGACTAATTTAGATATTAATTCAATTAGTCTAAATTTTTTGTGCACTGAACACTTCTACTTCTACTTTTATGAACATATATATGTAAGTTATAAGAAGAAAAGGGAAAACAAATATAGTAAACTTCTTTTGCAGCTAATTATTAATCAAACAAATTAAAAAAGGAAGGAGACAATGAATAGCCTTTTATAAATTTATTATTCTGTCTACCTCATTTTGTGTCGAATTTAATTAACGAGACTTAACTGAAATTATTTTAATTCATTTGTTTATAATATTAAGTATAGTATTGATATACAAAATTTATATATTTAAAAATTGTACTAAATGTACTATTAAACATAAAAAATTAAAAATAAGTAAAAATACTAAAGAAAATAAACAAAGTAGAAAGAATTGGTTTGACGAATTAATAATAGTAAGTTGACAGAATGATACAGAAAATAATTTTTATGATAATATTTTTTTGAAATTCTTTTATTTACCATTGTTTAAAAAAATAAATAAATAAATAAACACTCACATGAAGAAGGTGACATGGTGCGTGGCAGTGGGGTCCGTGAGGAGAGATATTTTGGGATGGGAAGCCATAAAGTGATAAAGATCGTATGAATATCTGACTCTATCGTTTGGCTATTTCTGAATTTTCTTTTTCTGTTTTTCTTTTTTCTTTTTCTTTTTTGGATTTTTCTTTTTCTGTTATTTACGGAATAAAATGCAAAAATGGGTTAAGTAGCTCGCGTCCACCCGCCTTCAAAAAAAAAGCTCGCGTCCACCCATATTTATTTTTCCTTTTATTGTTCCATTTGGATCTATGTACACGATATTTCCGGTGCCAAGATTTTCTCTTTCCCTTTTCTAGTTTTTTTTTTTTTTTTACTTTCGCAATAGAACTTCACTTGAAATAATCATCTTGATAGTGATTAAATATTTTGTAAAAAATTTTTAAAAAATCAAATAACATATATCAAAATATTTTATCATCATCTAGCATCTATCTATCTAGTATATTATACTAATAAAAGCTAAAGAAGCCCGCATGGGTAGCTCAACTGGTCATAGAGGTGAAACTTTGGAAGAATGACCAGGGATCGAGTCTCACCAGCGGTAGTGTGGGAGTAACCTCTCAAAGTGAGGGGGGCTCTTTGTGCGCAGTGAGCACCGGTCTAGCCTCTATGGTTCATGTTCAGTTGAGTCACCATAATTAGGGGACTCATGATTTACACCCTCTCAAATGCTCTGTCGGGCTATAGAGCCTCTATGGTTCATGTTTAGTTGAGTCACCATGATTAGGGGACTCATGATTTACACCCTCTCAAATGCTCTGTCGGGCTATGGTTCATGTTCAGTTGAGTCACCGTGATTTAGCCTCTATGGTTCATGTTCAGTTGAGTTATATCCTCCCAAATGCTCTGTCGCGGGGTGTGGGGGGCCCTTAGGGGACTCATAATTTACATCTTCTCAAATGCTCTGTCGGACCGAGTTGGGGTTCTTCCTTTTGGAAGAATAAGAGCCAAAGAAAATGAATTGTTCAGATTTTAAATTTTCCTTGAAATTTCTTAATTTATCCTTAATTATATGATTCTCCGTTAAATATTATCTTCTCCGTTAATATTATTATAATTTCCCTTAATTCAACCGAAGAAAAGCATACAAATCCTTATAGAATTCTAATATTAAAGTCTTAATAGAACTCTAACCCACAAATCTTTATAAAATTATAACTACACCATTACTCTAATTCTATTATTAAAGTCTAATATAGAATTATAACCATACCATTAGTCTAATTATAATATTAAATTCTTAATAGAACTCTAACCCACAAATCCTTATAAAATTATAACTACCCTATTAATTTATATATTAAGTCATTGCCCACTGTTCAGAACTTAGAAGTACAAACCTAAATACGCAAATGGGGAATAAGAATACGCAAAATAAGATGCACACAAATTTGCATTCGTCGTTATGATTTATTTGATTAATATGTGATGAGTTCAGTTAATTAGGAATCGTGTTTGAAGTGTTACACTATTAGGGGTGTTTGGTTGGATGGAAAACACTTGTCATGAAAAATATTTTTTATTGGAAAAAGTTTTCCTTGAAAATGAGGAAAACAAATTCCTAACTCATCATAGGTATTTTGTTTTCCATGAAAAACTAATATGACAATTTTAACCTCACCATTCTTTATTAATTACTCTTATTATTATTATATTATTGTTGTTGTGTAAGGTTATATTTGTCATTATAAACATTATTTCTTACCATTCCAAACTCAACTAAACAATGGAATTCATATTCTCAAGTAATTTCTTTTCCACCAACCAAACAATGGAATCTATTTTCTCGGAATTTATTTTCTATGGAATTTCAATTTCATTTCTGTTCAAATATTTTCCAGCAAACCAAACGAGCTGTTACTGTGCACGATTATTTTTCCTTCTAAAAATAGTAAGACCAGATCAATTTGTGCTAAAGAAACTATTATTTTTTTGGTGTGTCAGCCCTGCACATGTTGGGTATTATCTAACTCTTCCGATGAGGCACAATATCAATGGGGAATTTGAGGAATTTTGCAAGTATGTTTGTACATCTCCTATCATGTTTCTATAATATTATACAAATTGCTGCCTCCGTCCAACCTCCATTAACCTATCCCAAGCAATTACATATTTAAATACGTAAATTTAACATTCAATTATCTATGCATGAATAACTTCAATATAATCTTGTCTTGATATACTAAGTACTTATTTGAAATTAAACATTAGGCATTAACCCAATCACGCAATACGCGTGAAAAACTAGTTACAATATTTGATTCGTATTTGGTTAATAGGTAAATTATTTTCTTAACACAAGATGAGACCAACCGGTTCATGTAGCTTATCTAAATGAGTCGTGTAAAGAGTCCTTGGTAGGTAGTGTGAGCTCCCAATGTAGTACGTGAATACTTAGAGAGCGCTCGATAATTATAAAAGTTTGAATTGTTCTGGGATCTAAAAGGTGAGAAAATTACTTTTCATGTTTGTGCAATATTTGATTTAGAAAAGTTTGAGTCAAAGAAAATCTAATTTCATGGTATCAAAGGAAATTCAATTCCACCTAGGAGAGGTATAAATTTTTTCCCGAGTGATTGGGAAATCTACCAAATATATTCAATTCCATATTTATCATTTTTGGCTTAGGTTAAAAGTTTCTTATAAATATAAAGAGTTAATTACCGAAATGAGAAAATTACCGATTTGGTCGTCCAACTATGATGATTTCACAAATTTGGTCCTCGACTTTCAAAATTCCTCAATTTCGTCCTTGACTATGTCATTTTTACTCGATTTGGTCCTAAAGTGGTATAGTCGAGGACCAAATCGGGTAAAAACTCAATTAACACTTAGGACCAAATCGGGTGAAAATGACATAGTCGAGGACGAAATTGAGAAATTTTAGAAGTCGATGACCAAATTGGTGAAATCCTCATAGTCAGGGGACCAAATCGGTAATTTTCTCTTACCGAAATGGTCATTTGACTATAGCTAAATTACCGTTTTTGGTCCTTGACTATTTTTTTTACCAATTAAGTCCCTCAACTTTAAAATCTTAACCAATTTGGTCCTCCATTTGTTTTGCTTTTAGACATCCATAAACTCATGACCAAATTGGTAATTTCGCTATAGCCAAGGGACTATTTCGGTCATCACATGCACCGTGATGACCATTTTACTAAAATGGCTACTTGACTATAGCAAAATTATCAATTTGGTCCTGAGTTAACGGATGTCTAACGGCAAAACAAATTGAGGACCAAATTAATTAAGATTTTTAAAGTTGAGGGACTTAATTGGTAAAAAATTCGCCAATGACCATATTGGTAATTTTAATTTACTAAAATCTTTTGGCATATGATTTATTAAATTCTCGATTATTCTTTATATTTTTTTTAGTGATTGTATATATCAAGGATATATTAGAAATTTACAAATTTCCATAAGAAAGCTTAATTGAACCGCGCTTCTTAATTGATTTTCTAGGTAATTTAATTCTTATGTTTTTGGGTAACTCCAAACATTTTAATATTTTCTCTGCAAAGTTATTCTTAGCAAACAGTCCTTAAAAATATTTCCCAAAAATTTAATTGATGAAAAATTATCAAATGCTCTCTTAAAGTTTTCTATTTGGTTAGTGATTTTGAGTTGCAAACATATTTGCACTAACAAATACATAGTTAATGCCTCTTTTGAATTTAATTACGTACAAAGAAAAGTAATGTTAAGAATATATTTTATATATGAGCGATGAGAGAAAATATAATCATTACCTAAGAGTAATCACATCAATGAATTTTGGTGGGTTTTTGAAATCGTATAAAAAAAACATGATTTTTTGTTAATGTGGGATAGAATTTTTGGAGAAATTTTACTCTTACAAGAGATAAATTTTTGTGGGGTCCACATTTTGAGAAAGGAAAACAAAGCTCTTTGTTT